CTACAAAATTAAATATCGTTCTCCATTTTTTCCCAATAATATACTCTTGATGCGTTACTTATGGAATACAACTCGACATATGCGAGAACGATTGTAGATACGGTCCAGCGACATCAAGGAAAAACTTATTTAACAGGAACTATAAAAATGACAGATAAGTATTCAATAATTGTAAGTGACATACATTAAAAATTATATCAATTAGAATAGAATTCAAAAAAGATGATTCTAACAAGTGCTAGTATTAAACTAAAAAAATTAAATACAAAGTATTGAAAAGCTTTTTAGATGCAATACGATATATATTTTCGAATAGTTTTTTTCTGGATCAGAACTATGACTGGGATTATATTCCAGCTCAAAAACTTCATCTCGTACATCTTTATGTATGACTAATAATTATAATTTTTGAAATATAATCCTTCTTTTTTTTCTTCTGAATACAAAAACAAATAACAGAAATGAGACAACATTAAAAATATTCGAATCGAAGTTTCAGAGCATTAGTCTTTATTTATTTTTAAACATAATTTAATTTTACGTTTGTTTTTGTTTAGAGCGTTTGCTACTGTTCTTCGTGCACTTTTCGATAATTTTGCTTCAAAACGAACATTATACTTCCGATTGATTACAAAAACTTTTACATACAACAACTATAATTAAACAAGATAAATTATTTGGTATTTTAGCTAAACATGCTAATACAGCTGTTTATATTTTATTAGAAACATTTTCACAATTGGACGAACACGTTCAAAAATGTATATTTGATTTTATTATTCAACAAACACTACTTCAAACACAAAATGGGCCATATGAAGCTGATGCGAATTTACTTCGTTTAATAATGAAAATTATTGATTTAGCTGACTATGATTCATGTGCAACATTAGCTACTTCAATATTTGCAACAAATTCACGTATATGTCTTTATCGATTTTTATATTCAAATTTGGTAAATAAATAATAATCATGATTATTCTTTCCACTATCTTCTTCTTTTATTTCTCTAGCTTATTCAAGATGTTTTACAATGCTTTAATCGTCTTTTAACAATAAAAAGTATTCCAGTTGTTCAACAAGTTTATCAAGCTATTTTAGCTGATATTACATTAAATTTTAATGTTCTTTTGAATGTTCTTGAATAAAAACCAATTATTATTGGTAGTAAACCATCAATAACGAGTAATTTAAATGAAGATGATGCAGAAGCAGCACTGATTTTTGATCGCAGTGCATTATGTCAAATTGGAAATGTAAAAGGAAATTTAATTGGAGTAAGTTATCAAAAATGAATGCATTTTAATGAGTTGTTCGAAACTTTTGAGATAGCATTTTGCTTTGATAAATATCCAAACGAAGAATTTAATCTCGAAATGTTGATTACAGATAGAATTAATAGTCACTAGAAATTTGTCAAAAACAAATGAACTTGGATTTGTCAAAAGATTCAGTTTTGAAAACAGTGCAGCTTACTACGGAAAGAGATAACTATCAAATTCATTTGAAAATTAAATATCTAGAGAGAAACATGCTTATTTTTATGACAATTTCAGAAATTTTTAATGATGATTTCCTTTATCTACTGTGAAAAAAATTCAGCAAAACATCTATAACACATAATTATTAAGCCATGGATTCGAATCATTTTTGTTTGACGTCAGCTTCGTGTATCTTTAACGTCAGTCACTATATTACGTTGAATGGCATCCAATATTTGACAATGATCTCTCATAAGTAAAAGCATTAACAGAATCTTGTTCTGATTCTGAATTTATTTTAAGAGTTGTAAGCACATCTTTGACGTCTTCGAACGTAAAATTTCGACGAATTTCAATCTGCGAAAGCATCTCTAGCAAAGATAAGATCTCTTGCAAACATGAAAGTTTCAGGAAAATACAGAATGATATTTCTGCAATTTTTCAATTTCCAGATTTACAAAACTGGAAAATTGCTGTGAGAGCATCAATCATATCGTGCACATTGTAGAACAGTCTAGTTGTTTTATTTGTGCGCTAAAGTCGCTCATAGAACGTATGTAATAAGAAACATCATTGGTAAGAAGGACATTTATTTTCTACTATAATGATAATCCAGAGAATTTTCAAAAAATGATATGGTCAAACGAAAAGTCGACTTACAAAAATCGCTGCTTTCATGATAGAAATACAAAAATTTTCAGAAATAAAAACCATTGAAAAGCTCTGTAGAAGCAATTCCAAACATGAGACATTTCGTTCATTTTTATACTATGCAAGGAATCACGTATAAATCTTGACCTAGGAAATCAATACAAATTGTAAATCTAATTTCGAAAACAGCGCATAAGTGCAACATTTTAATAATTTTTTTGACTCTTATATGGTCGAAAAATGAAGACATTTTTTTTCTTATAACACTCGGATAACTTATTATTAAATATTCAATTGTTGAATATAGATGTATGCACTTTCTCCACCACTCTTTGAATTATTTGCTAAACATCGTCAACTAACAAATTCAAAATTAGCTCGACAATATCCAGCTGTTCATTACGGTGTACTTAAAACTCTTTATTCACATTGTGCAGCGTTAGTAATCAGTTTAATATGATTGAAACTTTTGTTTTGTAAGATAAGTTTCTATGATTATTTTAGACATGAACATTTTATTCATAATTCAGATTTATGAAAACAAAATGATACAACAAATGTGATGAGTTTAACAAGTTTAACAAAAGATAATTTTGAAGATTTACTTAAACTTCATCATCGCCTTATTGTTAATAGTCATCTTAGTTACCATGATACAAAGTAAGAATATCAATAATGTATAAATAAAACAATGTACTTGTTTATCTTTTTGTTAATTAGAAAATTAGTATTAAATTGGCTCGTCGAAATTATTGATGCACTACCACAACAAGATAATTGATTACTTTCTTTATCACTTTTGCTAGAACTTTCTCATGCTATTGTTGATATAGGTAAAAAGAAAAAAAGTATTCTTGAATCATATCAGATAATAGGGTAGTACAAAGATTTTCTGTTATTTCAATATCCTTGACTTTGTGTATTTCTAGATCGACTTCAGAAGTAATATAGAAGGATATTATTTACTTAAAATTTATTTGACCAAATCAATGCATGACATAGTATACTGCCAATTTTGTACAGAAAAGAATCAGCTATCCGATATGGAGATCTTNAATCGTATTCGTATACCAATTATGTTAACAGCAGTACGAAATTGTAATCAATATTTAATGCATGCGTGTTCATTAGGTCAAGCTGAGGTAAAATTATTTTAATTAAATAATGGATGCATCATAAAGATTGAAGTTAAAAGTAAATGCAATAGAAAATTTCAACGTTTATAAAACTGAGGACATCAGTTTTAAAAAAAGTATTTTTCTTTCGCATGATAATCCAAACACTTACATACTGTAAATTCTAACTGCAGCGCTTCATTTTTCGCGTTTTACCAAAGTATGAAGAGTATCGAAAGTCAAGAATATTCAATAGAAATACACTGGCCTTGTCCTATACACTTTTGAATATCCGAACTCTGCTGACGAATTGCAAATATTCTTCATGCGAATTTTCCGAAGTTTTTTTCAATTAATAAAATTCTTATTTGAATTACAGCGCAGTTGCGAAGTCCTTGCAGGAACAGCAGAAAATGCAAAAATCTGTATCTGGCTAGACTACATCGTTGGTGAATCATAATGCAACATATTCATGTCAAAAGTTATGAAAAAGCGAGCAGATCCCAAAATCGATATAAAATATTGCTTTTTTTTGTTTATTGTTTCCTGAATTTTAACATGAGATTGTCGTTTAAAATTTTGAATGATAGACTATTTCATTGAACATATTTTCTTCTTCATAAGAACCTAATGAGTTTCTCAGTAGTTATAGCCTATTTATTTTGTTTTCTGTTACTAGTTTCCCAATAAAGATATATACTGGACCTCAGTGTATTGGATGTTTTGAAATAGAAAAGAACTTTCTTTGACCTGTAAAGATAAACATTTGGATGCACTTCATAGAGTATGACAGATGCTGGTAAAGGATCGTCAAAAGATTATATAAACAACAACTCGTTGTAACAAATGAACCATTAAGTAAAAAGATGACGCGAAAACGTGTTTGGAAATAGATAAAGTAAAATACTCTTTCTATGATCAGTTACATTTCGTTTTACATCTTAATCATACAGAGATTTTGATTACAATTTTTAAAAATGTATATCAATACTTTATATAAATAGTAAATGAATACAAAATTTCATTTACAACTAGTTCAATTGATTATTGTATATCTATTTATGTTTTTATTAAGGCATCAGAATTTGAATTTATAATTATCTCATTTGTTCAATCACTTATTAAAGTTCATAATAGTATGGCTATTCATGGAATTTACACATGGTTAAAAAATCTTCATCAACTTGATTGGTCATGGATACAAGCATGTGAACATGAAGCTGCTAGAAATCTTAAACAAGCAGCCTATGAGTATAAATTATTATCAAATGAACATTTTAAAACTCTTTCAATGTCTAATGAAACAAAAGATGATAAGATATCATCTGAACTTGTAAAATTTTTAACACAAAAAGTGATTTGAAATGAAAAAAGAAACTGAATAAAACAAAAACATAATAATAATATTTTTATTTATTAGGTTTATGATTGTTATTTAAGTCTTCATCAATGGCCAGAATTAATTGCATGGAATGATACATGTATTAAAATGCAAATGGTATTTTTACAAGATGATAATGATAATTTAAGCAAAGCTATGGAAACAACTATTGATATAAATGCTATTCGGTAAGAAATCGAATTTTATTTTCTAAAACAACACATAGCAAATTGGTTTTTATTAGTGCAATGAGTTGTTTTGAAAATCGAGATTTTGAAGGTTTAAAAGCAGCTATGAGAAAAATGCCAAATTCACAAGCAACTGGTGAAGACTTAAATAACAATCATAAACCTAATAAATAAAAATATTATTATTATGTTTTTGTTTTATTCAGTTTCTTTTTTCATTTCAAATCACTTTTTGTGTTAAAAATTTTACAAGTTCAGATGATATCTTATNTGATCACACTAGTCAAGTTCTACCAACACAAAACCTGTCGAAAAAATTAATGTTTCTTCGGTCAAATGGTCATCGATATCAATATTTATTACAAGGTCTTGAGGATTTTCATCTAGATGAGCGTAGTATGCAATTATTATCAATAATAAATGTTATACAAACTATACTATTATATCGTTGGCATCAAGAAGCGGTTTAATACAATGGATTGAAGTTGCAACACCGTTGTTTACACTTTATAAGCGATGGCAACAACGACAAGCAACAGCACAAGCATGGAAAGCTCAAGTATATTTTCAATTAAGAATGAAAATCAAAAACTGACTTTAGCTATAGTAGAAAAACCAAATGATGTTTATTATTCAAAATTAAATGCTATATTAAAAGAAAAAGTAAAATAGAAGACATCAATTTTATGTTTGTTTTTTTATTATTTATTTAATTTTGAATATAGGGCAAACCACCAGAAGAAGATCGTCGTGAAGTGCCAATGCCGATATTACGTCAATGTATGGAAGAATTAATACGTGAAACACTAGCAGATCTTTTATCACGGTTAGCTTTTTCCTATTCATTTTTAATTAGCAGTTTATTTTGGTTTTGTATATTTAGTGAACTCTGGTGTAGTTGTCCAAGTGTTGGATTATGCTATAAAAATGTTCAAAAATATAGGTAAAAATGCATCTTCTGTAAAACCATGTGTCAATCTATAGATAACCGCAGCTCTTCTTTCAATATGAAATAGTTTTCAAGTGATCTTCTAACACTAACAAATCCGAGAATACTGAAAGCATGAGGTTGTTTAAGAATTTTTAGATAGAAAATATCTGACAAACAAATATAACATGGTAAAATCATACAGTACACAAATACTTAGAGATAGATAGTTTCATTTTACCAAATCACTGACAGTGAGTTTATTCTAGCAATGACTATACTAGAACATTGAAGTGTATTGGTACACTAGATATATATCTAATAGTTAACATCAGTGTTCCCATTTCATCAGTCTTTTACTGCAAGTGTTCATACTAAAGTAGCACATCTCTAGATATGTCACATACGTTATTGAATATTAGTCTATTGTAGTCAGTATGTAAATTGTTGGTGCTCAATCTATAAGAATCGCATATTTCGTGTCTGTGAATGTAATGAGTTACTTGTTCATAAATCTTATTCAGTAATTATCTAAATACAGTCTCTGATGATATATCAACAAGAGTTGTTACGCCTATATCAATTACAAGCTACAATCCGTAAAGGATTCTAATGTATGCACCTATACTTCAACACTCTCTTTAGATCCTATTGTACACAGATAGAGTATGCAGGAAGTTTCTTTGAGCATGATATTATCTAAAAATAATTTCCAATGTTGATCGTATATAGTTAAAATTTTTGAATGAAATAGTGTCTACTTAAAATAAATACTGATTATATCAAATTTTTTATGATATTCTGTTGTAAATTTTAGTCGTTCATTAGCTGTAACATCAATGATTGGATATATAATTTCTTTTATAAGTGTCTATTTCATTGAAATTTTTATTTCATCTAGATAATTCATATTGATTACAATATTTGTTTTGAAAAAGGTAAAAAATTACGTGTATCAGAAAAAGTTCCATATCGTTTAACACAAAATTTACAAAATGCACTTGGTATTGCTGGACTTGAAGGTGTTTTTTGATTATCATGAGAAAATGTTCTTAGCATATTACGTAATCGAAAAGAAATTTTACTTAATTTACTTGAATCATTTATTTATGATCCATTAATTGATTGGACTGGCCATCATACAGGTGTACTTGCTGCATTTTATGGAGGTCAAAGTAGTTTATTTGATCAAGTAACAATGAAAAAATATCAAGTTGAAAAAGATTCTTTATTTCGAATGTTTCATTTTCGTACAATTGAAATGCGACAAAATTGGATTACTTTAGGGAAAGAATAAATAAATAAATAATTTGAAATAAAAATATTTTAGTGAATCAATTAATCGTACAATGAATAAATTCATACAACGTGTTAATGATACAAATGAATTAGATTATTTTAAAACAGTATTAGAAAATTCATCAGCAAATTATGCATTATTTTCATTACTTGATAGGTAAATTCTTTCTTTTGCTTTTGCTCTATATAATAGAAATTACAGACAATACGAACAGATATGAATACAACAAAAGATTTAGTATTAACACTTTATCAAAATCTTGAAAATATTTTAATAAATAGTAGTGTAAGATATTGAACAGAAATTTTTTTTTTGTTACTAATTAAATTATGCAACCTTTTCTTTTTTGCCTTAGGAAGCACATGTAGAGTTACAATCAAAAATATTTTCTAATAAACTTCATGATTTCGTTGAAAATGATAATGTTTCAATTAGTACATCACCTGCTGTTCTTGCTGCAGATTTTCTTCAAGTAGCAGGAAAATCAACACTTCTTCATCAAGTAATTAAACAATTGAACGCCACTATTTTTTTGAGTTTCCTTTCGAAGGATAATAACTAGACAGACTTTGAAAAAGTATTGAATTATTTTTTGAACTGAAATTCTCAATAAAAATCTTTGAATGAGGATATTGAGATGATCAAGACCTTCGAAATCTGTTCTTTTAGTATCTTGCTGAAACTTGTTTAGAAATGCTTTTAATAAAGCAACTGATAATTTGATTATAATTAGACCTTGGTGAGTTATAAAAAACTTCCGAAGGATTTGTGTACATAAGCATTTCTCGCCATGTTTTGAATTGTCTGACTATTTTTCATGCGCATAAAAGTAATCCTAAGATATTTTTGATCTCTATTATCCAATAAGAGACTAAAATTTATTTGAGAGTGAAATTAATCATAAATAAATTATACTAGACGTTTCGATATTTTTGCTTTACTGCAATTACATTCAGAATAGGAATATGTTTATCTTCTTCATTTTTCGTATGAAACCGAGTGTCAAGAATTTAGCAGTACGATAAATGTTTGCATTTCGAGAGAAAATCATGGTAAAATATAAAGAAACATTGAGATTTATCATCTGCGAACTTCTTAAGATATAACAACATTGAAAAGTCAAGAATCATCTATTTGTCATTAGATCTAGCATTAAGGAAATTTTCGGTATTCTGTCTTTGATTTATAAGTAGAATTGTTTACTATTACTTTGAGGTTCATTGAGAATGCTTGAACAATTGAAAATTCCACAAGAAACAGTTATAAGCAAACGAACGCTTTGGAAACTACTTCCCATTTAAAAGAAAAGGCGGGTGGATATTCTTTGAATAACTTTTAATAGGAACAAGATAGAAAGCTGCGGTTTTCGTCGTTGGAAAGAGGTGATGAAACTACATCGATTTGTGTATTTCAGATATTTTTTCTGACAAGTATTTTAAAGCTTTTCTCACAAATTTTTTTCCAAAATCAAAGATTTTAGACGTGGAAAAAAATTAATTTTTTTATTAAAGACTAAGAAAAAAAACGATTTTTTCGCTAAAAATCATTCGAAAACACACAGTAACATGTTCAAAACTCATGATTAGCTAAAGATAATAATGTCGCATTTATAGAGCTGATATAACTTTCGTTAATGCTTCTAGTGCCCTCCTGAAAATTAGAAGTCCATAATATTCACATGATGTAATGTTTTGTCTTTTGAAAACTTGTCGATGAGTCCTTAAAATACTTGTCAGAAAAAATCTGAAATATATAAATCAATGCAATTTCATTGCCTCTTTCCAACGGCGAAAACTGCAGCTTCCTATCTTGTTTTTATCAAAAGTTATTCAAAGAATACTTACCCGCCTTTTTTTAAATGGGAAGTAGTTTCCAAAGCGTTCTTTTGCTTTTGCTCTATATAATAGAAATTACAGACAATACGAACAGATATGAATACAACAAACGATTTAGTATTAACATTTAATCAAAATCTTGAAAAATATTTTAATAAATAGTGGTGTAAGATATTGAACAGAAAGTTTGTTTTTTTTTGTNCGCTGCTGTTAAAAACAAAAAAAATTATATAATTTGAAAATCGCTCATATACCGCAATCTTAACTTCTTCACAATTAACACTAAATCTGGCAAAAACATCTGGTACATTGAAGTGTTATAATATTTGTAATTGATTAGAATTTCATTAACTTCAAGTCATCGACACCTAAACAATATTAAATAAATTTGTAATATTGATCTTGTGAGAAGAAAAAGGCTTCATCAAGTAAATTATCTAAGTCGATAATCATTATATATATATATTGTACTTATTGGAGAAGAATATAGGTGTATTCGACAGAAATAATGTTATTGTGACAGATAATTGTGATTTATGCAACGATTAGAAACGGTGAAATAAAAAAGGAAGCGTACTAAACTTTATTGTGCTAGTCTCAATCAAAACCTTAATCGTTTTTTCACTTATCTCAACATGAACTCTGATTGAATAATGTGAGATGTATTGATGAAGTACTCGATCTTCCGCACTTTTTTTGTCAGAATAAAATTTCACTTTTATGTAGTATATATGATTCTTATTATCTAACATGTTTTAGCTTTTCGTTCAGCAACAATAAACATTAAAACAACATTCTACAAGGGGCTAATAATTCTGAGAATCTCTCTTCTAATGATAATGATGAGAAAAAACACTTACAGAACCGATCGAAAAATAAAATTCCTGAATGCATCAGATCTTAATCGACACCCACACCCAACCAAGCAAGAGAAATTGGAAGTTAATACGGTCTCAAAAACACTTGGGAGCATTCATTAGGATCCAGACGGGATCCACCGGGATCTAGCGGGATCCGGGATCCGCTTTTTCCCCCTTGCGATTACCAGTTAAAGTTGAAGATGTAAGTTTAATAGATAGTAGAAGTACAAATGAGAATATTATTTAAGATTAATAAACTTATATTTCAACAGCAAAATGTGAATAATTATAATTAATAAACATATTCATATATATATATTTAGATGATGAATGATTTATGTCATGCAGTTGTTTATATTCGTAATCATATTAATGAACACTGTCCAGATGCTGATTCAAATCAAATATTTCTTTCTGGTCATTCAGGTGGTGCACTTTTAATTAGTTTACTTGTTCTTGATAAATCTCATCTTATTCGTCATGAATTTCCTTTATCATCAATACGTTGTGTTATATCAATAAGTGGAATATATAATTTAGCAAATCCAGCACATGATTCACAAAATAATATTCGTAACTGGTTATTTCGTATACTTTATTCAAGTAATTTACTTTATTCTGAAGGAAAAAGCTTGTTAGCGCAGTCTCATGGAACTGAAATATGGAACTCACATATGACCTCTACCTCATTATACTAACACAACATACGTGAAGTCAAAAATCTCTTCTAGACTATAGTTGTTTTGCAGGACAATCGATTATCAGAGTAAGGATCTCTCTAATTTCTACATTCCGAATAGAAAATTTTTTATTTTTTCTACGGGGGACCTATTTTTTATTTGCATCATTGCTATTCGCTCATTATTTTTCACTTTTCTTAAATCCGTGTTTCCTAATTTAATATTCTTATTATTATAAACATTGAATTAATTGAGAAATAAGTCTCTTTTACATATCCATGATATCTACACTAAATCTGATGCACTATTATGTATTAATCAACCTACAAACAATAATGTTGATTATCTTTCAAAACTATAACTTGATCAATTTTGCAAAAATATGTAAAAAAATGAGAAACCTCTCATAGACTTTAGTTGTTTCGCAGGATAGTCAAACATCAGAGTAAGAACCTTTCTAATGTCAGCATTCGAAGAGAAATTTTTTCTACGGGCGCCTTGTTTTTATTTGGCATTATTGCTATTCGTTCATTATCTTTCATATTTTTAATTCGTTTTCCGTAGTTCAACATTTTTATTATTATAATCATTGAATTAATTGGCAAATAAATCTGTTTTACATATCTATGATATCTACAGAACATATTACGCACTATTGTATATATTAATCAGCTCGCAAACAATAATATTGATTATCTTTCAAAATTATAACTTGATCAATTTTTCAAAAAATATACTAATGACAAAATACACAAGGTTTAAATTCTCTAAAAGACGATAATTCTTTTCTAATGATAATCGATTGTCAGCAAACGCTATCTTTTTTATTTATATACTTCGAGCAGAAACATTTTTGTGAAGTTGCTATGATCTCTAATGGAGGGGTGTTTGTAATTGGGGGTGTCTGTAATGGGGGATGTCTGTAATAGGAGCTTCGGTTGCTAAGTGTCTGTAATGGGGTGGGAGGATGGAGGAGGAGCCGGAAAACCTGAACTTAAAACTTACACTCACTATGATTTTCTTCGAAAACATATGTGAGTTCCACAAAAAAATGAGTGAATATTCTCCAATTGAATATATAAAAGAAGACGAAGAATTACCAACATTTCTTGTTATGTCTGCACGATTTTATATGGGTTTACAAGTTGATGCAAAACGTTTTGTTGAAAAACTTTAAAATTGTCAACATTCGGTTGAATATTTTATTGTAAACGGGTACACATGGAACAATTGCAAGTAAATTTTCAAAAAATAATGCACATAAACATTTTTTAGATTTATTCGTCAACATATGAAATATTAAATAAATAAATTCAGATATTTCATTCTTGCTATTTAATTTTTAAATCTATTGAATAAATTTTTAGTTGAATAGTTTCATTAATAGCAAAAGATTTAAAGATATACTAGAGATTTATAAAATCTGAGATTTATCATCATCCGAATTCATTGTATGTTAAACATAAAACATGTTTCTGATGAGTAACACGGAAGAATCTAATCATAGAAAAAAACAATAGTTAGCTATGCTTATATCATGAAAGTTGCTTTATTGAATAGTGAAAATACATATGCTTTTATTTCTAAATACTTCCTCAAGTATTGACAAGCACTTATGATATTTACACATGCACCAATAAAGATAGAGTTCTGTTATCACACTTGCAGAAATCACAGGCGTCTCTTTTCGTTAGATATGTACTGATAACTACTGTTGTGAACTGATGCGGGAACCTCTCATGATATCGTTTTCCGGATCTTCGTTCTTGAGATATCGTAATTTTATACAGCTTTTTGTTGTAAAACGCAATAAAACTTCGATATCTCAGAAACGAATCCATTTTAGACTTTTCTACTACTCACTAAATGAACACCGTCTCAATCGAAAAGAAGTTCGACATCTGAAAAGATTTTTCGTGCGCAGTTCTCGAATTATCATCGATTACCTTGTAAATCAGCTAATGACAATATGTTTTGTTAAGGTTTAATTCAAAACAACAACTGAGAGAAAAATTGTGTATTAATCTACCGGTTCATTATGCAATTAATTATTCTTAGTCTTTGTACATAAGACGCAAATCTGATGAGGGAAATTCTCCAACTAATAAATCGCGTTTGAGTCGAGACTATGTCCATTAAGTAGAACCAAATGAACTGTGAATACTTTGAAGACGATTTAGATCTTAGTTTATTACAGCTGAGATAGTGCTCTTTTGCAATAGTTTTTAAATGAATACCATGGTTTGCTCAGCGTTATAAAGAAAAATGATTTTCGAATTTCGGCTTACAACTTTGTGTAGACATTGACTTCAAGGGTAGTAGTTTATTATGAGAGTTTCAAATCTTGTCATTATTCCTATCTTAAGATACACCTATGATAAAAGTGTATCGTCTACGTCACTCATAGAAATCAGTAGGTGTTATACTCTTATTTCACAAAAGGAATAAATCAAAATAGCGGAAGCTTTCAGAATAAACTATTCTTATTAAGACTTGTCTTTGTGCAAATTTTCAAGTCGAAATTCGAAAACTAGTCTATCTATAACCGTAACATTCATTCAAAAAATACACCCTAAAAGTGCAGTATCTAAAAAGTTAAGAATACGAATTCTTTTCAGGATTTTCATAGTTCATTTGGATCTGCATGATGTTCCATAGTCATGACTCAAAAGCTATTAATCAATCGGAAGACTACCCTCGCAAGATAATAGTCTCTTTACTCAAACAGACTACAAAATACCACAATCATGAGTTGTTAACAAAGCTGAATTTCGAACATCGAAAACAACTCGAAATAAAGCATATGTTTGAATTTCTTCATTATAAAATAGCTGATATTAATAGAAATTTTATTTTAAAAAAGGATTTCGATTTCTCTGAATATTACAATCAAGAAACTCCTAATTCTTTTCTTGTATATATTGATACCGTAAAAATTTCTGTCACAACTATGCTTATTGATTACATTATATCTTAATAAAATCATAAATTGTCTGTTATTTTTTTAGCTTGTTGATTTACCTTCTCTTGCAATAAGTTATTTAATTTTTTCATTAATTCCATCATCTCAATCTATTCATGAAAATAATCTTATTCAAACTGAAAATCAATTTCAAGATTTTATTAATAATCTTTGCATAATAACACCAACAAATCAATTACCTGAACTTCAACAAATCTTAGTAGAAATCAACACTATCTGGCAAAATTTGAATACTGCTGAGTAAGAAATTTTAATTATTATTAAAAAAGAACTTTATATGATTTACTATTTTTCTAGACATATAAAAACTTCATTAGATATATTACACATACGTAAACATACAAATGAAATGCAGCTAATAGCATATCGTTGGAAAAATTTTTATTTACTTAATTCGAATAATAAAAATCAACAACGACAAACTATATGTGAAGAATTAACAACGGTATTTTTTTTTCATTTCTCATTACCAAATACTAAATCAGTTATTGTGTTTTTTTTATTATTGCAGGATCAAAATATATTATCTATTAATGATAGTACATCTACAACAATTATTGATAAAATGAGTAATCTAGAGCAAACAGTTATTCAACGATTACGATGGGCTGCTGGTGCTGATCCATTAGTTCAAGATGTATTTGATAAATTTGAAATTCGACAAAAAGAACGTGCTAATCAAATAGATGTATACAAAGACAAAAAAAAGACATCTTTTCATTTTTTTTCTTCTTAATTTAAATTTCTTAATTCTTCAATACGTTTTTATTCTCAATTTATAATTGAATTTATTTCTTTTTGTTTTCCTTGAATAAAATCCGAAGTTTCTTCAAAAAAAAATGTGGAAACCTCGGATTTAAATCCGACTTTTATGTGTACTTCAAAAAGTAAAAACACAGAAGCAATTTACGTTTAACTATCTTTGCAATAGGTGACTTAGTCTTCTTGTTTCTTAGTGTTTTATATACCATTTTGTACCCTGTAAAATTTTCTATCGAATGGTATATTATAACAGAGCTTTTATTTGATTATGAGAGAAAAAATTTTTTTACGAATACCGGTATAGGTCAATGTTCACATAGAAAACATCGTAGGAAATAATGACATTTTTTTGCGATAACTCAGCAATTTCTTGACGAATCATTCTCATCTTCGAACTCGACACATATATTGATAAGACGATTCTGTGTGCAAAATTTCATCACAATCGAACTACCCTTTTAAGAGTTATCGTGTAAACGAACGGACAAACTGACCGATTCTATAGTGTACTCACTTTTTGAGTGCACAAAAAGTCCATGAATAATATCATTTGATGTTATTCTATTTATATATATATATAGGAAGATTCTATAGGATATTAAAATGAGATAATATTTGTTGAAGTTGAACTACTTATAATTAATAAGATGATATATGAGGCATCATATTTATTTGTTTCTATATAAAACATAATTGATTATTATTATTTAAATAAAAAAATTCAATAGAAAGTTGAAGACGTCAAATTTCGAGAATTTTTTCTGTTTTTATGTCAACTGAGATTTCTCTTTGTAATCTTTGATGTGTTCGTTCACAATCAAACAAATTCATTTTTGTCTAAATTAAATTAAGATTTTATTTATTTCAAATGAAATAATTTATCAAATAAATAAATATATATATATCTATTATGTATGAAAATCTTCTTCAATATTTTAATTAACTGTTAAACTACGAATTAAATTATATTTTTCTAGAAGAATCAATCAAAAGAGAATTTATTTAATAATTCTACCATAATGAACATATTCTATATAAAAAAGAAAAGAAAATAATATTTATTTGACTTTCTTTACAAACACAAATATCAGTGAGAAATTTTCAATAAATAGAAAAGACTTTAAAGATGTTAACATAGATAAAAAGTCTTATTTCGATGAAGAATAACTCGACATAACATGAAATTTTTTAATTGAAAAAAATTGTTTTCGTCGTGGGATAGCACAAATTTTCAGCTTTTTCTTACTTGTAACAAGCATTACTCCACATGCAAGTGATGTAGGTTGCTACAATTTTAAAAGTATAAGAATCAACTCAGAGGAGTATTGGTAAAATTTTAAGTGATTCAGAACTTTCTAACAAGAGATATTCATAATTTAGTAAAGATGATGCAATGGTACCGATAGAGTACGATTTACGCATGTTTAGCACAGTTTAAAATAAATCTAACATGCATTGACCATGTTTTTATTTCTTTTAAAAAAAGTTATTTCCAAGCTTTCTACAACTCGAACATCTTTTTATTTAGTTTATCCGGGACATTCAGAAAGAAGCCGTTTGTAATCTTCAATGTTGTTGCAGAGTTTTCCAGACCTCTAAAAACTTTTCGTAGTGGAAATAAGTGTCCTATATATTTCCTATATAGTTGAGTAGAATCCTATATTAATGGTGTTTTCTAATTCCTATATATTCCTATATTTTCACCAAGCGGCGCTGCGAAGCCAGCTAACACCTCAATGATTATCAACAAATTTTCCTAGTTGCTTAATTTTCGATTACAGATTTTTATAGGACGATCATTTCCTAGTAAAAATGTTGTTTCTCTATTTTATTATTTCATTCAGCAAGGTACGGTTTTCATTCTTTATGAAATCGGTACCTAAGTAATTTGAATTCCGAAGAAATAAAAAAATTAATTTGTTTTATTTTAGTAATGAAAAATTTGATAAATCTTGCGAAAATAAACTAGAATCCTCCAAAAATCGTCTTCGTGTTACTGCCTAGTTCTAAGTCAGAGCAAGTAGATTTAGCAGCTATTCAATTTCAAATAAATCTAATCACAATAAAAGACTTTTTCTTGCCTTGAAATGTTAAAATAAATTGTTTTTTATGTTCAAATAAAATTTGTCTTGTTAAAATTAATTTTTTTTATTTTCGCAAAAAGAAAAATACAATTGAATTTAATGAATATATGACAACAGAAAAAGTTCAACACTGGTTATTTGTATACCATAATATTATTAATGTACAAATAACGAAAAAAAAGATCTTCAAAATAATCAAAGAAAGAAAAATATACTTTCATTCAAATTATCTTCTTAAACGTCATATAAATTTTTTGAATATTTTTGAGCATCTTAAATGAGTGTTTATTATAAAAATACAATTGAAAAATCGAATTAAGGTTGATTTTCTTTAAATACAAGAAGTTGTCGGTACTCCATAATCTTGTTTAGCAGCATCTGGAGGTCTTCAACAACTAAAATAAAAGAAATCTCCAATAAAATTATAATTGAAAACTAATCTTACCGATATCCATCACGAAATAAACGACAAAGTTGAACGCACTTAATAAGTAATATAATATAAATAAGAGAAAAATGATAAAAAATGGAGCCAAGAAACCCAAAGTTAATCGATTAAATAACATTTTATGTACTATATGACCGAAAGTTTCACGAACATACTACAAGAAAAAATTTAAAAACAATTACAGCGCATACATATATATATATATATCTGTACCGTTGAGACAGCATTGAAAAATACTTCTTCGATATGTGGTGGCGCGATACCGATAGTATCACTTGATAATGCTTCAACATGACTTTGTGACGGTTCAACATCATCAGGTGGTACTTCAGAATCATTTGATAGTGATTTAACATCACTAGGTGGCGCTTCTGTATCATTTAATGGTGCTTCAGTATCATTTGATGGTGCTTTAGCATCATTACGTGGTGGTTCAGTATCATTTGGTGCTGCTTCTGCATCATTTGATGATGATTTAACATCATTATGTGGTGCTTCAGAATCATTTGATGGTGATTTAACATCATCAGGTGGTCCTTCAGTATCATTTAATGGTGCTTCTATATCATTTGATGGTGAGTTAATATCATCAGGCGGTACTTCAGTATCATCTAATGATGCTTCAGTATCATTCAATGGTGATTTACCATCATCAGGTGGTCGTTCAACATTACCTTGAGACATTTTTTATTTGAAACAGGAAAGTTTTACTTATATCTAAAATATTTCTCTGGAATAGGGACCATTCACACAGATAAAAAAGAAAACATTGAATTATTATATTTAGTCTTGAAAACTCACTGAACTACCTTCATGTTCATTGCGATTTGAACCACATGGAAAACCCATTGGTCCTGTTCGCCAATTATTCGAAGAACCTCGACTAAAAATATACATCGATAGATATACAACAAAGAAAGATTACAATGATAGCCTTATTAAGACTATAATCGATGTTTTGTTATTCTCTTTCTTTTTTTTTGCACATATGACGATTATTTTATAGATAAAAGAAAACAAATGGACTATATATAGTGATATGTGACAGAGAGAATACAAATATATTCGAAATTTTATCTTCTGAATAAAATAGATCATTTGTTAGTTATAACGAAGGCCATAGCCAGAGGCGGTACAATCGATGCTCATACACATCCTTTAGTCAAAAAACTACCTGGAGGGGTGCGAGTAAAAACTATTTTCGCGAAAAAAAAAGTTATTTTCCTGCTGGTGTGTCCTTCCCTTAGCAAGTCGAGTACCTGCCTTGGAAAATTTCTGGCTATAACATACATCTGTCGTCTCTTATTATTTCGATTCTTCTCGCCATGAGTTTCTATCAATCAACTGATGTTTAATAGAAAAACAATTTTAATAATATTCGAGCATAGAGGATTTTCTCACACACCAATAATAGACTGAATTCGAAAATATTTCATCTGTTTTAAGTTGATAATATTCTGCGAACAATTTGTTTTTGATAAAATTAAAGAATGAGATTTAACCCATATTAAGCATCGTTTTCTATTAGAGAATATTCTCAGTTGATGAGAAACTAGTAGGAATTATCTTTTAGTTATATGTAACACGTTTGAAGAAAATTCTAGTCCAAAACAATGGACATTCACTCTCATTCTTTCTTGCTTTCCTCTATTTTGAAATAATATATTTTACTTGTTGAGTCATAGGTCCTTATGAATAATTCATAGGAGCATATGGTGAAGCTTGTTGATATCGTGGATGAACAAAATAAGCTTGAGGTGGCATAGATGGTTGTGGATGATACATTTGTGGTTGCATCATTTGTTATTGTCGTGGTGGTGCTTGTTGCCAATGATCTAAATACGCCAATGAAGATTTAAATTTGATTATATACAAAAGCAAATCAAGAAATAGATATATTGTGTTCATAATAACCAGTACGTTGATCTTGATAAGCTGGCATTTGTATTTGTGGTTGTTGTTGAGGTTGTTGCATAGAATTTGAAGCACTACTACGCATATTTGAATAATGTTTAGGATGTTCAAAACTCAGTGCTTCAGCTGAGATTTGAACCTGTTCCATCACTTACACCTTAGTGTTGTTGTGTTGGTCCTTGGTTTCGATTATTATTTGCTTGACGACGAGGTGGTTCATTATTATCATAACGTTGATTACGATTTTGTCCTTTTTTATCATCTTGATTTCCTTATCCACCTGATCGTCTTTGATCATCTTGATCATTATTATTTTTCGGTGTACTACGTTGTTGATATTGACTATTTGTAAAATTTCTTTCACGATGAAGTGTTTGTTCAGATGCTGATGATGATTGTTGTTGTTGTCGTTGTTGATTACGAAGAGGTGGAGCTGTTTGTTCATTATTTTCATATTGATCATAATCACGTCTTTGTCAACGTCGTGGTGCTTGTCATTCAACATAATTATTTCGACCACCTCGACCACGATTATATGATGCTGATGGACAATCATAATCTTCAACATAAAAATGATTCATTTCACCACTACCACCACGGGGATTTATAATTTGGTAGAGCTCGTCGACAATAATCATTTCTTTCATCATAATTTTGTTGATGTCGATCACTACCACGACGACTGAAAATGATAAACAAAAAATGAAGAATTTAATTTAAAAACTGACCCAAAACGAGCCCGACCTCCTCGTCGCAGCGTTTGACTTTGATAATGTGAACGACATGATGTTGGTTCATTATCATCATCACGATATAAATCATGTTGCCTTTTAGCATCTGAATCTTTATATGGAGGATTTTGATTCCTTGAAGGTTCTCGTTTTAAAAGGAATGAACAAATAATTTTTTTTTTATTTTATTAAAATTTATTTTCTTACTGTTTCGGTTGATCTTTTTCATTTGTTGTTAGATCATCGTGTTAATAAAATCTACCTTTACATGGTATATAAGCAGGATTTCAAGCATCATTATCATTATCAAGTGCTTCGGTGTTTTTATCAGATTTCTAATTAAATAGCAGTAAAAAGAAAATTTTCCCTTTTTTTTTTTTTATAGTTTTAATTTTTCTGTTCGTCGAGTTGGTTTTGTATTAGGTACATTTTGATTATCATGGTCTTCATAACCTTCTGAATGTTCATCATCATTATTATCATTTTGAGTCTAAATGAAAAATGATTAAAGAAGAAAAACAAACTAAAATTTTTATTGTGTACTTTAAGAAAACATTTATTTGAAATAGATTCATGATTTTCCTCTTCTTCTTCATCAACATCTTCATATTTGGAATCATTATCATCATAAACTTCTTCATCATTTTCTGTTGTTTATTCTGCATCTTTATATTGTGGTTCACTTGATAGTTCTTTTGATTGTAAGTCAGATGATTTTGTATTTACATCTAAATGGATTTGAAGAAAATTTATTGAATGAGAAAAGAAAAAGAAAAGAAAACCTGTTGTTTGTTCTTTCTTCTGATTTATTTTCAGCTGGCACAACAGCTACTTCTTGATTAGATTCATCTGATATAATAAAAGAGAAAATAACGATTAAAATAATTAGAAAATTTCTTTTTTGTTTTACTAGTTGTTTCAGTTTTGTTTGTTGAAATTGTATCTTCACTTACATATAATACTAGGTTTGAATCCGTCATTCTCGATGAGATTAATTGGAATAAAAAATTTTGTATAAATGATGATGACTATGACAATAAAAAAGATGATTTATGAACCAATAAAATGTTGACTATTCATTTAGGAAATTATTTATTAAGAATTGGATGTCCATGGAGATGGCAGTCAATCTTTTTCGACCATCGCAGCGTGGCAGCGGTAAGTTTTTCAAAAAACGTCTTTCTGTATCTTAAGAAATTTGAAATGCTTGGGAAATGCTTTACTTTGATGTTTCGATTAACCAGAATCTTTTACCTCAACAATCACATTTTTTGGTCATACAATCCTAGCGATATTTATGAATACCTAATGGAAAGAAACTTTACACAAAAGATTTTTGAAAAACTAAATTATGATAAAACTCAATGCACATGAACATGCTCTTTGTTAGATGGCATCATCGTATATATGTATTCCATCTATATCTTCTTTCGTTCTGTTGCCATGCGTGAATGGATATATGTTTTCGTCGCCAGTATGTTCCAGTATATTCGTTTCGTTCTGTATGAATCTTGTATGTTCTATCTAGTACTCTCTTGTGAGTTCTTGACTCTCTGGTATTTTCTAGCACATTCATTTTGTTCCGAACCCATGTATATATGTATCCGTCGCTTGCAACAATAAAGGGAGATTATACATACGCGATAAGATAAGACTTCTCTCTGACTAACAACTGGTTAGTGGTTGATTACCTTCATATCTTCATTACTTGCTATGACTAATCATAAATGCTAAGATATTTCTTCTATCATTCTTATACTTTTCTTTCGAAAATATTCTCGTTTTTTTTCTATTTTCTTCTTCTAATTGTACCAATGTGTCAAAAACTTTTCTCCAAACTTTTCTTTCAGCATATCTTATACCTATTAAGTTCTTTATAAATTAGCAAATTTAGCATTAGTATCTATTGATTCTATACATTCATTAAATAATCGTGCTATAAACCGCGCGCCAATACTCTATGCTGTTTTGAGACAATTTAAATTCGATAGATACCACTCAAAACCTTTTCTTTTTCTGTAATTGGTGGACATTTAGGATAAAATTTGTCGCTAAATCTAAAAGATTTTAGATATCAATGAATTCCTATATAGTTAATACAATACTTAGCTCACGTGTTAGGATTGACCACATAGTAAAAATATTAGAAAAAACTAGTACAGCAATTCATGTACGTTAATCTTGTCTATGTTGTCCAGCTTTAGCTTTAGCTAGAGAGCTGAAATTTTGCACAATTGAAGACCTTCGTTAAATATGTATACATATACATATATATATCTGATAAAAATTTCAGTCTTTTATATAAAGAAAGAGTATGAAACATGTGATTGACAATTTATCCTCTGTTATTATGAAACACTCTTTAGAGTCTAGTTCTAGTGCACCAGGATCTGGTTGAAAAGTTATAAGTTCTGGTTCCGGCCTTGGTAAAACTCAAAATTTTAGTCATGGGACTGGGATCACTTTTCAAACTCCTAAATACATCTCCATCAATATCCTAAGCAGTGTACCACTAGACTTAAAATCAGGAATCAGTTCAGAAAATCGTAAGTCCTGAGCAAAAAGTGTAGACAGGAAATATTACGAATTTTGGCAGGATGAAGTGTGGGCCCGTCGTGTCTTACCCATACACTTCCTTCTGTTGTATTCTTCTTTAAAATTCTAGTCTGATTTAGCTATTATTTTCGATGCTAAGGCCGGATTCGATGTGTAGTTACTATGAATCCTACAATCTACGTCCATCATACATTCAGTTCTTTTGAAAGATTATTGTATTTCACTTTTATTTTTTTCAAACCAAAACAATGATAGTGCCACTTGTAGAAAAAAACACAAGTGAAGTAGAATAGTTTTCAAAAATAAAATAGGACAAAACAATATGATTGACCAACATTATAGGCTTTATAGAAATGATAGGTTGAGTCCAGCTCTAGTTTTTGATCGGACCCTCATATCACTATCCACAAGAGATTCTGACTAAAACGTGATAAAATCTTCACAGTATCCTGTCTATTATTCATCGGAGGATCCAAATGGTAGGATATAGAGTGAATCCTGACCGGCATCTGAAGTGTTAATGTCGAAAAAATTTTGGCAGGAATTTTAACAAATCCTAGAAAGAGTCCTCTTTAACCAAAACAAGTTCTGCAAGCAGGAGATACTAAGCTTCGAGGTAGGACTCTGAATAAAACTTGATAAGGTTCCGAAGATACAGGATCCAGAGAGATCTTTCCAAGACTTGTCAAGAAATAAATACAAGCGAGTCTAGAAAACGACACAGGTTCTGTGAACTGTTTTTTTAGTGTCGTCGCGGCTACTGCGCGGTATCAATTTTTTGGAAACCTCCACGGTGCTGTAGCGCCGGGGCACCAATTTTTCGAAACGTACGCGGCACGGCAGCGCCTGATTTCCAGTCCCGATGGACATCTCTGCATTAAACCGAATTTTTATTTTTTATTATTTATTTTTTTGAATTCATCTTTGTTTACTTTAGCAAATGAAAATTTTTTGTGATGAACTAAAGATATGCATTGATGAAAGGAGGTCGGAGCTTCGTAACGGATAATAATAATGAAAGAATGTTCGTTCACTTGTTTAATAAGACAACATAAAAAAGAACAAACAAAATTTTTTGATATGGTTGTTTGAACAGCTCGTGTGGTGTGAATATGAATGAAGAGACAACACCCAAACCCACACCCACACCGATTTCGTATCCCTTTTGCGATATGATTACAAATCTTATTGGAATTCGCCGAAATTCAAGGAACAAATCAAAGTTTATAGCAATTCAAATACTATAGACTAAAAGTCAATACAAAATAGACTTTGGAACTTCGTGAGATTTTTTATTTCGCGGCAAATTAGAAGACACACATAATATCTTTTAATCAAATTTATAGTGATACACTGGTATAGTCACCCCCAACTTAATTCTTTCATGTAGGTCTTGACCATCATGCTTGGTAAGTGTCATGATTCTTTAGCTAGTTAAATCGTCATATATTAACTTTCTCAGAAGTTCTTATTTTAAAGTCAAATGGCTTTTGCACAAGTTCATGTTCTCCAACATATAATTTTCGATCAAAATTTATCATTACCTAGAGAACACAAGTGGAAGGACAATAATGTTTAATCTTTGTTCATACGCCGATTAACAACAATGAATAGCAAAATGTGTTTGTTCGACACTCACAGTTAGTGAAATTAGAACAAAATAAAAGGAAATAATATTTTTTGTAGCTATTGAAAAGTCCTATAAGCATAGATACTTTAGTTGTACAAACCATGACTTCCATAGAAATGTTGACATTAACTTCAAAATGACTATGTATATTCTAAGGATCACTTATCAACCGACATAGAGAACTTTGAAAATATTTGGAAATGACCTATCTAATACAGTTTTCAATGTTCAAACATGGATTCAAATTGAATTCCACGTTAAAACAAAACTCAGAAGAGAAATAAGCAGAAACACTACGAAAATAGTGAAAAATATATGAAAAATGATTATCAGATAAAAGCTTGTTGCTGTTTCGATATCAAACATTTTATATTCATTAAATAACTCTTTCTTTGCGCTATCCGAATTCATAAAAAAGTTTCTGGATTCATTCAAATTAGCAAAGAAATCCAGTCCGTACTGAAGAAAAGTGTGAGAAAAAACGTGTAAAAAAGAGATAAACCGGTATTAACAATCTAGTTTTGTCTAGGATCCCTATATAATGAAGGATAAAGAGAGACCACATATACAACTTCGTAGAGCTAAATTCACTCTATCGAATGAGATATTACCCGGAAGGATTCTGGAGAAATACTGTGGAAAAAGTGTCGAGATACGGACTAATTGAGTTAACTACGAAAACAAAAACTATTTTTCAAAAAGCTCGTTGAAAACCTACTCAGTGTTTGCCTCATAACTCTTCAGATCCAAATCAGAATGGACTAAAAATTTGGATTTAGAAATTTTCAATGCTGCCCTTTTTATTTGAAATTAAAAGAATATAGAAGTCAAAATTTTCGAGAGAATGACGAAGTTTGATGAAGCTGTGGACTGTCTTTTAAATACCATAAATTTGGACGATCTATAATTTAAAACGATAATGCCAACTTCACAGAAATACATCACTAGTAGTCTTAGTGTTGATACGGCAATACCGTCTTTCAGTCTAGTCTTCTTCCTATTAAATATTTTGGGAATTTTTTAAAGTTTACTTAATGTTGCAAAGTTAATTTTCATCATGGCGATTGTATAAATTTTTCTGATTTATTTACCTCACAATAAAAATATTTTGACTGTGAAAGAAAAGTTATTGATAAACAGGATTAATGAGTCATTTTATAGAGCATGAAAAAACCACGTCAACGTACAATATTAATTTCGATATAGAAGCTACGAATAAAAAAGAATGGATATCATAGTTAATATTTGCAAAACTTAAAAGTGGTACACACACCTAGGATAAGTTGGTTCTAAAACAAAAGCAATCATTTTGAACTCAATAAGGAAGAAAGTAAATATACGGAAATGTTCAGAATTCCAAGCTCATCTTTCTTAACCATCGAAAGTCGAGACTAAGAGGATAACAGATCTACGACTTTATCTGACAATGTCCTTTGTCAAAAAAGCTTCGCTAATCTTTCTTATCCAATTTCTGATAGAATCCATTTTCCCGCAACTATATCATTCAGAAACGACACCAATCATTTAGCGTAAACAAAAATGATGAAGACAGAGTCGTTGTAAAATTCGAAGATCAAACGCTCAGTATTCGTCTTCCATAATTATTNCGACAAAATAAAAAAATATTGTACGTCCTCGTTGGTTTTGCTATCTATTACGAAATATTTACAGTGATAACAATGCTTTCTGAAGCATCTTATTAAAAAGTACATCCAATATTGAATTGATTACCTGGACTTTTCTCTTCAGACGAGTGAAACTAAGCAAGATGCTGATTATTGAAGGAAGTTCATCATACTTGCAGTAAATAAGAATGTATGTAAAATTCTGAGGGGTAACATATTAATCAGCTTTCGTACTTAACGCGTTTTCGATAAATTCACGTGTGAAGAATCATTAAAAATGTACTGATTTAACGAAAAAATATTGTTAGAATTTGAAAACGCGTTTAAACGCGTTAATTTTGCGCAAGTTTAACGCGTTTTCATGATCAAAATTGTAACATTTTTAATCGTTAAATCGTTAAATTCTTAACGAATTTTCACGTCACAAAGTTTCGTTAAATTAGCAAAAATTTTTACATGGGAAGTATGGTTTAGATGAGTTTTTAGTCATGTCAATCTGGTTGCCATCTTGTAGTAAATGACTGAGCGGTTTGATTTTGATCTGTCAAAATATAAATCAAATTTAAAACTCAAAAGAATTTTCAATTTAATATAGATTCATATGGGTTATATATAAACTAATAAGTAATTTGTTACAAGATCATAGCAAGATTGAAATAACTGAGGATTTGTCTGAAACATACTCCAAGCAACTCAGATTTATGGAAAGTAATTGTTTCCTCTAGGGATACACTCAATTCAAAAACTAAATGCGTGAAAATGTCCGCTTTTTATGGTTTTATTTTCATTGAAATTTCAACTCGTTTTTGGCACGTTTTTCTTATTGTTTGTCTGACTAAGAAACTTCAACTCTATTATTCTATTATTCATGTGTCAGTTGTATGAAAGAGATGCCCTGCGTGCCGAAAAAGAACTTAGCTGTAGATTCAAATTCCTCGCCTAATATTCGTTCTGAAAGTGTGTCAAATCGGATCATGCAAGCGTCTTGTAAAACATCGCGTATGTGACAGAATGATATCATTTCAAAATGATTTCAACAGAAAACGTACAAGAAAAATTTCAAGAAACAATATTTTCGACATGACATTTTTCAGAAAAGCTTGCATATTTTCATCTGCTATTCGTAAACTTTCTTATGCGAAATTTGTAATCCATTGTGTCTTGTACAGTTTGGCGAGTTCTGTCGAATTGCATGGAATCAAATTCACGATTACCAAGCTTCTTGATTTCCAGATGCCTAAAACAGGTAAGCCTGATGAACAATGGTCCTACTGATTCTGTCAAAGTGACAAAAAGAACGTACTGTAGAACTCGACGAGCTGTATCGAATAACATGTTATTCGATATATTTCCACGGAGTCGAAGGCCAGTATTTCAGAAAACACATTTCCAAAAACTCCTTTCTGAAAAAGAAAGTTGAAGATCAGAAACAAACACTGTTCTTTTAGGTTTTTTCTTTCAAATTTCAGTAACTACGGGCACAAATAAAAAATTGTACCGCTGAAAGCTACATGAATCAATAGATCCCATCAAGTTGTATCTAATCCGACTGATTTGATAGACGGCATACATTTTGACACGCACGTGCAGTACTAAAACGGCCATTAGGATTGCCAGAGTTCTCACTCCTGAACATTGCATTCTCGAGAAATAGTAACGCATAGAAAACTGCGTTTCCAAGCATTTTTCTATATACCTAGATGTTGATATGTCACTGTCTACTCTTTTAAATAAGACTATTACGCGTTCTAGACTCCTAAAAACGGAACACGAAAGTAACACTTTTACCCGGCCGTATACCTTTCTAATCGCGCTCTTTCGATCGAATGAAACATAAATGTATAAGAGACTGATTTGAAATTGATATTGATCGGCTATCATTACAGAGTTCTTCTAGTAGCAATCTTTTTCGCATTTTTTTGTGAGTTCTTGCTTGAATATTTAGCTTGAATAGTGATTGAAATCCAGCGATATCTGCATTTTGACAGCCTGGTACATCCATAGAGTGATATATGCAAACAAAACATAGCAACCGAAATAACTCGGCGATTTCTATTTGAGACAATGGATTTGACAGCTGATATGACTCATAGTAAGCATATTTGGGGAATGAATGAGCCATAGATACTCTTTTGAGAAGTATAGGCAGTTCTCATTCAAACTAGCGCTTGGGAATACATAAAAATGATACTTATTGAAAATGTGTGTCGAATTACATTTGGGGTACTGAGTTTTGCAGTTGACAAAACTCGTGGTATGAATTTTCAGTTCAATTATTGAAATTTGGAGAAAATCAACCAATAAGAACAGTGTTCATTCTTGATTTTCAGCTGATTTATTATAAAAGACTTTTGAAAATGTGCTTCGCCAATCATATACTCAATTCTGTATTTGGAGTAGTCAATCAGTTTTTTTGACAAATGTCAGAGACCGGATGTTTCAATCAAATACTAGAACTCGCCGTTAGCACGATCTACGTGTGTATCTCAGATTTCGCCTTGAATTCTCCACGGAACCGCACAAATTGCATACTTTTCGATCGAGCTCATCAACTTACGTGTGACGCGATGGTTTTTCATGGTTGATATAAACCACTGCTTAAATATTCAGTAAAAGTAGCTTTTTGCTCTCATGTGATCGGGAAACGCCGTGCCATATCTGCTTTTCGTGGTAATTTTGAACTGACACGAGTCATACACCATTCGATAGAACTGCTCGAATATTTTCAGATACAGTTGATTTGAAATTATACACAGCGAACTAGACGAATATTTGACAGAAATAGTTTAGTTTTACAAAGAATGTCTAACAAACAGTTATTTTTTATCTTATTGCCGAAATTTCTGGATGAAAGTTTTCGGCAGTGCAATGTTTCTGTGGCATATTCAATGTAGGCAATTTGTTCAGTTGAACTGAAACTTTCTTCTTTCGTTGATATCAACTTTTAGGCTTCATATATGTGTTAGTGTCCACTAAAAAAGCAGAGTAACGAGAAAATTCCTGTATAAAAAAACATCTCGAATAAGAGAAAGACTTCATTGTAAATGATTGTTATCATTTTATTTGAAGAAGTTCATTAATTCTAGAGCGTACACTTATATAGACTGACACCACTAATCACGTTATTTCAAGTATTTGTTTTGCATTCATTTCACATCTCATAGTAACTAACTATTCGATTTGATTTTTTTAGAAGTTTTGTCTTTGGTAGAAGCAGAAACCGCAATCAGATAAAACATAATGATTATATTCATGCTAACGAATTATAGACTCATTTTTTTATTATTTATCCATCTTATGTTGGGTATTTTAATTGGTCATATGTTTATTCATGAAGACTTTTTATGTGAATCAAATTATTCGCCATACACACTATCGACAAACACTCTAATAGAATTTCCATTGCAAGTATCATCTAATGTTCAAATTATTAATCTAAATAAACCGATTGATGCTAAATTTAAATGTATAAATACCAAAACACTTCTTAATTTTATCAGTACTACTATATGTTTACATGAAACCCAAAATGACATATATGTCAGCAGTTCATTCCATGATAAAACATCTATTTGGGAAGAAGAAGGAGTAACCCGTATACTTCAACTTCTTATTCGTCATCCACATCTTGATTTTATTGATATTGGAGCAAATATTGGTGTTTATACAATGTATGCTGCTGCTTTAGGTCGATTTGTATTAGCTATTGATTGTTTTGCTCCTAATATTAATCGTATTCATCGTGCTGTTCAAATAACTAATGTTGCTAATCGTGTTGTTCTTATTCAAAATGCACTTTTTACTCGTTCTGGACAATATTTACATTTGAAAATGGATTCAAACAATATTGGTGGTCAAGAATTAGATGTTTCTAAAAATGAGTTTATTAATCAGAGTATAATAAATAATCCATATATCGTTAAAACAATAACATTTGATGAATTATTACCAATATTAGTTGCACGTGGTGTTCGTGGAGCAATTATAAAAATTGATATTGAAGGAAGTGAAAGTTTTGTTATTGAAAGTGGAAGTCGAGTATTTGATACATTAGAAATTCCATTTATACAAATGGAATGGTTTAAAGTGCGTGATTATCCTGATCGTGTTAAAATTATAATAGATTTTTTTGTGAAACGTAATTATGATCCTAAGACACTTTCATGTCAATTGTTAAATGTAAATCAACATATAACATGGCCTAATGATTTATGTTGGATAAAAAGAAACGTTTCTAATTTTTGTTAATTCATTCTTGTTTAATTTATAATAAACGAGAAACTTCAAACCATATTTTAATATTTTGTTCTTGATATTGTCGCAGTAAATGTATATTTTTATGACTGAAAGCTGTTTTCTTGATTAAATAGTAAAGTTTTATTAATTAAAAACGTTTGTTTAACCAATACTGTTTAAAATTGTGATTTTATATGTCATTGTAAATGTTTGAATCGTCTACTGAAAACATCATCTAATCACTCTTTTCCTATTTATTAAGCCTGTGTGGAACTTTAAGTAAAGAGGAGAATCCAATTCACGATTGATTTCAAAATCTTGTTTTTCATCTAATTAGTATATCGGCAATTTTACAATCGCATCGAATTCGTTTGTCTTCTAATATATATTCAACACTAATTGGTTCATATAATATTGAAGTTATACATTCTTCTGCTGTAGACAATCGTCTGACAGATAGCTCATGAGGACACGCATGAAGCCGTCAGAAATCGATGGCACTCGTGAAAATTTCATTTTTTTCATTTGATGTTCTAATCTTAATCAGAATAGGCTAAAACATGTATATCCCAATTTGTGGTTTACTTAGTCGGGCTGATGAAAAGTTAGTCTGATTAGATTGTCGAGAGCTGACAAGATTATTTCAAAACAATATCAGCAAAATCATTTGTATATATCTGACTTGAAGCATACTATAGCGAAATGTCGAAATTTGTCGAGTTATATCCCAAAACGTAGAACACTGAAAACTGCACAAAATTAACTATTTGCATATCATGTTTTCATGAACTGATTCAGAGTTATTTGTCAAACACACTGTCCATGACTAGTCATTTTTCGACTGAAAAATGAGCCAGTTTTCTACAGTCTATCAGCTGACATTCAGTCACTGCAAAAAAAGAACATTCTAATTTTCAGTCATGGAATACAGTTTTCTCTTCTTTATAAAAAATTTTAAAAAAATGTTTAGAACCTAATCGACAAATAGTTTATAATGTTGACCACTTAATTCGGCATTTATATGGACAAATTAGCGTGAATACTTGTACTTCAAGTCATTCCATATCTCTTCTTATGAATCATATGATTTTGTCGTTATAATCTTTATTTTATTACAAGTAGTAGCTCACAAAGTGTAAGAGGCTACGATAAAATCTTCTCGTTTATGCCAAAATTCATCATAATTTAATTTTCAAAATTCAATAAAAATTGTTTTCGTAATCATAGAATCTTCAATTTCTCATTGTAAGCGAACTGCAAGTTAATAAATCTATCTGTTTTATCTTATCTTGATCATTTCTTTCAGTGTTTTCTCATATTTTAATTCTCCTCATAGATCAAACAAATAATCTCACTAGCCGATTGATAGTATGTCAATTGAAATTAAATTCGGTAATCTGCACTTTTGTGATGTTGCTATCAGAAATGCATGTTTTCCGGGAATCTCTATTTCGTTGACCGAAGCTATCAGCGATATTCTGAGATGAAATCTTCAGTATTAGAAATATCCTAATATTCTATGTATTAATACTAATTACACTTAGTAATCTTAGAGATGTGACAAATTATTAAATAGCCAAGTTTAGTGACCAGATATGGGATTGACTCGGTTTCACAGCAGACCGAACGGAAATCGATTCTGTTTGAACTTCTTAAACAACTACTATCTATTTCAAAATATAACGTACCATATCGTTGTTTTGAATAACTTGGGATAGAAAAATCATAGAGGCCTGTAGTTTTCACCATTCATGAGAGAAAATCTGGGAGCCATCGAAGTATATCAAAATTGGATCTGCTAGAAAACGGCCAACCAGGTGAGTTCTCTTGATGGAGATTTTCGAAAATAATATTTTGTGACTATTTCTCTTTTAATTTAAACTTTTAGCAAGACTAATCTATAGGAAAAATTCTTCTCTTTCGATCTCAGCAAGGCCGACATTTCTAGCTTGTTTCGTTCAAAAGTGATAAGACTTTTCCTGAAACCTCCGATATCAGCCCATTGATGTGTGATCACCTGGAAATGCAGCTAGGCAGATGTAATTAATCACAATATTGGGTTCTAGACTCGAAATGATCTGATATTGTCATCTCAATTTTTTTGAAATACCGACTGCCTCGTTACATGGAAGCTGAACGTGTAATTTAGAATTGGTGACCTAATAGAATCAGATCATTTCGAACCTAAAACCAAATGTCATCATTCGACTCAGCCTAATGAATTATTTTTGTCTCACTACTGTTCCGGGTGATCACAGATCAATGGACTAAATTTTTCATGGATTCAATATCTCAGCGAGACATTTTTTTTTCATCTTTTGAATACTCAACACTCGTTGAAATGTGTTGTGGTAATTATCAAAACAATATATATCGTCACCATAAGCAAACCTTTCGCCAAAGACTAACTGAATGTTACCAAATGGCAACATCCGGCCGTAATGGGCTAAGTAACATCAAATAGAAAAATACAAAAAAAACAAAAAACATCCACACTAGATTAACTTTTACAAGTGATTATTGTGAAAAAAGAAGATTAACACCATTCAATATCTCCACTTTCTTCATTAGATCTATTTTCATCTTCTTCACGTGCTTTTTTAACTACTGTTTCATTGAATGTCATGAGTCATGACATAATTGAAACTGGATCAAAATTTGATCTTTTTGTTGGTGCCTTCTTGGCCTCATGAAATTCTTTCAATAAACCTAAGTTTTTTTTAGGAAATATGAACTGATTAAGCTTTTCGCTACCAAAATTTGTTCTACTCTCGCCGACACTTTTTCTCGACGATGAGAAAAGGCATTCAATCGTGATATTTGAAGCTGGTCTTGCAAAAAATTTTTCTGGTAATTGAAGATAACATTGAAAATAAACTCTGTGGTTTATGCCAAAAATCCAGAACGTCAATATCTTTTTCATCATCATTATTAGCAAAGACGAAATCATGATCTAAATAGAAAAAAAAATCCGAAGTTTTTTCGGAGTTGGAGTTAAAAAAACGTGACTCCGTAGGTCTCTAAATCAAAACCAATAAACTCTATACTATCTAGAACATACTAAAATTAGTGGTGGAAACATTACAATACTGTATAGAAAGGTTAAGGAAATTTTCTCCCTATATGCGACGATAGTAAAAATAATAATATATAATTTTTCAATATTGTATCGTTCTTCAAATAATATCATATCAATAAAATTTCCATACGAGGAGCTGTTTGTTTTAATATGTGACGATACTACTTTTAAGTATTTTGGATAACTTTTGATAGAACCAGGAAATAGAGCTGTGCTTTTGACCGTCAAAAAATGGAAATGAAGATGCATTCAGTCGTGTTCTATTGTTTTTTCTAAAATGGGTTTCTGAATGAGAAACTCAAATCTTTTCATTCTTTGTACATCGAAAGCTTTTCAATAGGAACCTTCTTTTGTTTCACTCTTAACTAATAATTTCTCATTGTTTAATTGACGCTTGTAGTTTCTTCTGCTATAGAGATCCACGATCTAAAACTTTTATTTATGAATGACAATAAACTAACGTCATCTATCGTCTAATTTAATTAGTAAAATGTTTTTCATTGATTTTTTTTGTCGCTTCATTTTTCTCTTCAAATAGACATGAAAACTATTTTTTAAATATATATATTTTATCATTTGTTTGCTACATTTGTTATATTGCTAAACACCTGTGTATGACATTCGAGAGGTGCAGATTCAAATACTCAAGATGGCTGACACCTGTACAATAAGCATGTATATATGTTTTCATCATTGACGAACAAGATGAGAAGAAGGAGAATAAAAAAATACATTGATTCTTTGTTTTTTTTAAAGTAATTTACATTTATCATTTTATCAATTCATGTTTGTAGATTATGAGATCTTTTATCAAATGGGATAACTATATATATATTAGATATATATCCCATTTATATTAAAACATATCCATGACTTGGTGAACAGTACGTCTAATTTCTACAGTTTAATAAAAGACAAAAAATTCAAATTCAAAAGTGAAAAATTATCTCTAGCAAAATGTCAGCACCTACTCAATATCCTAAAACAAATATCGTTAAGCTCAATCAACCTTCTTCATCATCAGCAACAAGAGACAATACTGGTGCTGATGGAGTAAGTTTTTTTTCAATATAGATTTTTATCACTAGTACATATAATAAATTGTCAATTAATATCAATAATGTGTTTTTTTCTTAACTTTTATTTTACATGATGTAATATCTTATGATTGATCATTCTATACATATACATATATATATATGTATATATAAACGACGTCATATATTCGCTTCTTTTTTTCTGGTCATGCAATAAATGACATTTGTCATTCAATAGTTCACATTTTGAATTATTTTTCAACATGATGACTAGTTCAGTGCCATTCAACTACATCAGTAAACCGTTCATTTCTTATTCGTGTCTCATAGTCTGACCGTTTAAGTGTTTCATATATACATGTGTGCATAAAGAACATGAGAAAAAAAAATGGAAAGAAAGAATGTGTACAAGAGAAGAAAAGAAACGGACAACTACACCTACTCCAAATTCGATGTATGTGTATACATGTTCGTCAACCTATTAGTCGTAATTGACAAAAGAAAAGAAGAAGAGAAGAAAAAAAATCCTTTTTTAGATTGTTTTGTTCGACTTATTGATACATGTGAAAAAAGTCATATAGTGGAAAACACATAGATTTTTTTGTTCTTCTATTCTTAAGATATTTTGTTGCTACATTGAAATGTCGACGATGTTGACAACACGATATTAAATAAGAAAAGAAAGAGAACAATATAAAAAAAAATGAAAGGAAAAAAGAGAACGGACATAGCAAGAAACAATTGTAGGCAAGCATGAATGATTCTTTCTTATATTTAATATAGATATAATAATTGTAGCACTTGTATCTATGCCAAGTATGTAATGTTTTTCACTTCTATTCTAGAAATCCACAAATACCGATCATCATCACTATCATCAAAACAATAATCATAACAATAATAATAACAATACAACATCATCTACTGGAGCTACGACATCATCTTCATCGACACGACTACAGTCGAGCAAAATGCGTGATCCAAATGAACCACATATTGGCAAATATCGATTTATTAAGGTTAATTATGCCCTTTTTTTTATCTATATAACATGAAGTATAATTTTTTTATGTAATTTAGACAATAGGCAAAGGTAATTTTGCCAAAGTTAAATTAGCTAAACATATTCCAACTGGTCGAGAAGTAGCTATAAAAATAATTGATAAAACTCAACTTAATCCAACATCATTACAAAAAGTTTGTATTTTATTTATTCTATAACTATTTGAGTATTTTTATATTTTATTAGTTATTTCGTGAAGTAAAAATAATGAAAGGACTTGATCATCCTAATATTGGTAATTAAAATGACAATTAATTTGTAACAACACAATAAATTAATATTCTTCTTACATTTTTTAGTCAAACTTTTTGAAGTAATCGAAACTGAAAAAACACTTTATCTTGTTATGGAATATGCAAGTGGCGGTAAGCATAAACATAACAAAAAATGATAAAATAAAATAATTCTTTTTGTTTATATAGGTGAAGTATTTGATTATCTTGTTGCACATGGACGTATGAAAGAAAAAGAAGCACGATCAAAATTTCGACAGGTATGTTAAGATAATATCCTTGAATTATTTACAAATGCGGGTCTCTCGAGATTTAAAGACACAAAATTTCTAAGGTTTCTATAAAATTAATGATGACCTGTCGATACGGCTTACTATCTTTAAAAAATATTTTTTGACCGAACGAACAGACAACAACAAATTGTCAGAAAAGTCTCTAGAGGATTTAAGTCCAAACAAAAAGTGTGTCATATACATTCATTTAATTATGAAAACAGAAATATCTAGCAGAAACCAACTGCTTCAAATGTTCTAAAAATATCGTACACATTGATAGAAACATTGTTTTCCAATAAAATCACTATTGAAAAAAATTTAGATTGTGTCTGCAGTTCAATATCTTCATCAAAAACATATTGTGCATCGTGATCTTAAAGTAAGAAAATCGAATTTTATTTCGTGAAAAAAATTTTTTTTTTCTTTAATTAGGCAGAAAATTTATTACTTGATTCAGAATTAAATATAAAAATAGCTGATTTTGGCTTTAGTAATGAATTTACACCAGGAAATAAGTTAGATACATTTTGTGGTAGTCCACCATATGCAGCACCAGAATTATTTCAAGGAAAAAAATATGATGGACCAGAAGTTGATGTTTGGAGTTTAGGTGTTATTTTATATACACTTGTTAGTGGTTCATTACCATTCGATGGACAAAATCTCAAAGTAAACGATTTAATTATTCATTCTTTCTTGTTTTTTTCTTATTAAGAAAAAATTTTTAGGAATTACGTGAACGTGTATTACGTGGAAAATATCGAATACCATTTTATATGTCAACTGATTGTGAAAGTTTATTAAAAAGATTTCTTGTTTTAAATCCAACACGACGTGCTGCTCTTGAAGTAAAATAAAATGATATTAAATTATGAAAGATTACCTGTTTTTCTTTTCTTTTCTTTTCCTTTTTTTTTTTGAAGTCAATTATGAAAGATAAATGGATGAATATTAGTTATGAGAATGATGAATTAAAACCATATGAAGAACCAAATCAAGATTTTAATGATAATTATCGAATTGAAATCATAACGCGAGATGGTGCATATACTCGCGAACAAGTACTTGATTCATTAACTCAACGTAAATATGATGATATTATGGCATATTATCTTCTTCTTGGCATTCGAACAAATGAAGTAAACACACATTTTTTCTTTTTTGGAAATTTTATTTAAATTCTTTTTGTTTTTTATTAGAATGATACTTCTGAAGGTCAATTAGGTACAACAGCAAATAATAATAATAAAGGTGTTACAGATGCATCCAATACTCCTTCAACATTAGCATCTAAAATTGTGTCATCAAGTACAAGACCATCAACAACAAATGATAAAGAAAATCTTCCTTCCATTGATAAACAACATCGACCAACAACAACAGTTGTACCATCAACAATTAATGATCATTCATTACTTAATGGTCCAGCAACAAATGGAGCTAATAATACATTATTAACATCATCAAGTATAGATACATCAACAGCTAATAATGTTCAACATCTATTATTAAAAACAAGTGCAAGTGGTGGTCCACCAGTATCATCAATGATAACATCAAATTCAATAACAAATCGTACAAATACAATTGATAAAATTCGTTCACAAACAGTTCGTTTACCTGGTACAGGTGTACGACGTCGTGAAACACTTGATCCTGTTCCAAATGTTATATCAGCAAGAAAAGTTGATAATAATGAAAAACCTAAAACACCAACTGGAGATAGGTATGAATTATTTTGTTAGGTTTTTCTTTTTTTTCAATATTTGCATGCTTTTCATTGTTGTGATTGTTTGCTTTTGCTTATTAGTACAACTTTCGAAAGTCGTATTCCCCGTTTACCTCAAAGGTTTGTTTTTATTTCTCTCTTGACATATAACAAAAAAAACAAACTAAATGATATATCCCCTGGATTTCTCTAGTTTTAATCGTAGTGGTATTGAACCACCATCATCATCTACTTCTTCTTCACAAACACCACATCATATGATGCGTGCATCAGTACGTGAGAATCCAAAATCAGCAAGTTTATCAGCACAACAACAACCATCAAAAATTCAAGAGAAACTCAAGTGTGTACTGATTTTTTTCTTCTTTAGTTAAGATTATCAATGAGTTTTTTTCTTACGTATAAAAAAAAACAAAAGTTAAGAATATTAAAAAACAAACAACATTTTCTTTCGAAATATCAGATCTAGAAAAACATCGGCAGCTGTACCATCATCAGCAAATAGCAATACAGGTTCGATTCGAGTTTATTCGAGTCAACATCATCCATCTACAGTCAAGTAAGAATCGATCAGACAACAATCCATCGACATGATCTTGAAAGATTGAGAGAAAAATTTCTTTCTTTTATTTTTATTACTTATAAACGCACTTACACTCAGAGACTAACCCTTGCCATGTTGCACGAATGCTGCTATTGCTTGTTTGTTTATGTTTTTTCTGTGTTTTAACTCACTTGAATATGTGTGTGTGCGTGGCTGATGAGTTCATTTGTTTTATGGTTTTTTTTCTTTCTATCTTATTGTAGTTCTCTAATGGTGCAAGCTTCAACTACTGCAAATTCTGCTGTTAGTACCACACCTGCTCAGCTACCACTTACTACGACGAGCACGCCACTTGAATCTTCCACTAACACACGCGTCGGTAGTGGTGGCGATGGTGTGTTATTAAATCGCTCTGCGCCTGATCGTAAAACTATTCATAGTACATTTCCTTCACGTCAATATCAAACATCTACAACGACTGATTATCGAGCATCAACAAGAAATCCAAATAGTAGTACAATGGGTTTTAGTGATGGCAATAATCGTCATCAGCAACATGCTGGTGGTGCTTCGAGCTTGATTGGAGGGACAGGAAGTGGGGCTCAATCATTTTTAAGCAAGCTTTCATCTAAATTTGCACGAAGGTAACATAACTGACATAAATCACTGCACGTGCACTAAAAACACAAAAAAAACTACTAACACTTAAAAGAAAGAAAATATCGATTTTTTCCTCTCTTTCTCTTGATCTTTGTCTGGATGGTTGATTTCTTCATTTTCTTGTTCTTTTTTATTTATTTGATTGTCGTCTTATCATCATTATCTAGAAAATCCATTCGAGAATCGGGTATATCATCAACAACAACTGGTGGTGCTATCGGAAATAATATGTCAACAATGAGTGGAAGTGTGGCAAGTGCATCGTCATCATCTTATCGCCGAACAGCAGATTATAATAATCCAAATATAACAACCAATGAAGGAACTGGAGTCACAACGAATGATAATCTTGCTACAGGCGGTGGTGATATAAAACCACGTTCCCTTCGTTTTACATGGTCAATGAAAACGACTAGTTCCATGGATCCAGGAGATATGATGAAAGAAATTCGAAAAGTAAAGAAATTTTTTTTCCTTTAAGAAGTTTCCGGAGAACAACTCATCAGAAAAATTTGAATTTTTCGGGGCACGTAGATCTTGGCGAATAGAACAATAGTTGTCATTTCGGATGCTGCCTCCTATGAGATACTAGAATTACAATAGCTCCAATTTTCGCCCCCATTTTTCCGACATGCTATGTTTGATCGAGCTGAAATTTACTTTTACAAGCACTAGACATTGTTTGAGGCGATTATATTGTCCTTCGAATAAAAAAAACTAAATTATAGAATGTGTGCTAGAGAACGCATATCTTTGTTTAAAAGAATTTTTTTGTAAGCAGTATCAAAACTACTCAACAAGCTTCATTTTATATTGTTTTTCCGCAGTTGTCAACATTAGAAAGAATTCAAATAGCAGTTTTTGAATAGAGGAAATCGTTCCTAAGAGAAATATGTATATAATAAAAATTATCAGGTTTTCAAAGATAGCGACTGCAGAACGCAAAAAAGAATAGTTTTTCAGTATCTAAAATGGATAAATATAATTTTATTTAGACTATATAGAGCAAACAATTCTCTACAAAATGAGACATCTTCGAGTTCACTGCAACGTTTTTCAGCTGAGATGCATTAATCTTACAGAAGCCCCAAAATTCATTTTTGTTCTAATTTCTTATAGAATAATCATTTTTGTCCTCTCAATTAAATAGCTGTATCTCAGCTGAAAACCATCGTAGAGAACTTGACGATATCTCATTTTATAGAGAATGGTTTACTCTATCGTTCTATGTAGTCTAAACAAGATTATATTTATGTGCTCTAGGTGTTAAAAATCTAGGGTTTCGATTTTCTGGAGTTCCTATCTTTGCGAATCCGATAATAATCTTAATTTCCTTATATTTGTATTGACACTATGTTCTATTATTTGAATTCTTTCTAACATTTACGACAGAGAAAATAAGCCTTGTTTAATCATTTTGGTACTCAGTATATGTGAAAAAAGTGTCAGTTCGATCAGACGTACTAGATCGGAGAACCGGACGAGCTACTAAACTTTTTTTCATGAAAAAATTATTTTGAGAAAAACATGAAACAATGTAGAGGTTTCGATAATTTGATTGCTTCTCGAATATTTTTAACGTTTATAGACAAACAGAAGGGATGGAAAAAGGCAGAAAGGAAAAATATCGAAAATAAAAAATGTAGAAAATCAAAATGCCGAAAATAGAAATTATACAAATGTCGAAAGCTAAAAGCAATTAAAACGAAAGTAGGTCGAAAGAGAATCTTTCCCGCTCTCACCCTCACTCTTACATCTGCACCGTCACTTACATCCATCGCTTTCGATATTTTCATTTTCGACATTTTTTACTTTCGATATTTTTCCTTTCTGCCTTTTTCCATCATACCGACAAATATTCGAATCCTAAAATATAACTTACAGGTTAGTAAGTAGACTATACGAGAGTCGCAAAGAAAAAAATGAANCGGGGCACGTAGATCTTGGCGAATAGAACAATAGTTGTCATTTCGGATGCTGCCTCCTATGAGATACTAGAATTACAATAGCTCCAATTTTCGCCCCCATTTTTCCGACATGCTATGTTTGTTCGAGCTGAAATTTACTTTTACAGGCACTAGACATTGTTTGAGGCGATTATATTGTCCTTCGAATAAAAAAAAACTAAATTATAGAATGTGTGCTAGAGAACGCATGTCTTTGTTTAAAAGAATTTTTTTGTAAGCAGTATCAAAACTACTCAACAAGCTTCATTTTATATTGTTTTTCCGCAGTTGTCAACACTAGAAAGAATTCAAATAGCAGTTTTTGAATAGAGGAAATCGTTCCCAAGAGGAATATGTACATAATAAAAATTATTATCAGATTTTCAAAGATAGTGACTGCAGAAAGCAAAAAGGATAGTTTTTCAGTATCTAAAATGGATAAATATAATTTTATTTAGATTATATAGAGCAAACAATTCTCTACAAAATGAGACATCTTCGAGTTCACTGCAACGTTTTTCAGCTGAGATGCATTAATCTTACAGAAGCCCCAAAATTCATTTTTTTTCTAATTTCTTACAGAATAATCATTTTTGTCCTCTCAATTAAATAGCTGTATCTCAGCTGAAAACCATCGTAGAGAACTTGACGTTATCTCATTTTATAGAGAATGGCTTACTCTATCGTTCTATGTAGTCTAAACAAGATTATATTTATGTGCTCTAGGTGTTAAAAATTTAGGGTTTCGATTTTCTGGAGTTCCTGTCTTTGCGAATCCGATAATAATTTCAATTTCCTTATATTTGTATTGACACTATGTTCTATTATTTGAATTCTTTCTAACATTTACGACAGAGAAAAGAAGCCTTGTTTAATCATTTTGGTACTCAGTATATGTGAAAAAAGTGTCAATTCGATCAGACGTACTAGATCGGAGAACCGGACAAGCTACTAAACTTTTTTCATGAAAAAATTATTTTGAGAAAAACATGAAAGAATGTAGAGGTTTCGATAATTTGATTGCTTCTCGAATATTTTTAACGTTTATAGACAAATAGAATGGATGGAAAAAGGCAGAAAGGAAAAATATCGAAAATCAAAAATGTAGAAAATCAAAATGCCGAAAATAGAAATTATACAAATGTCGAAAGCTAAAAGCAATTAAAATGAAAGTAGGTCGAAAGAGAATCTTTCCCGCTCTCACCCTCACTCTTACATCTGCACCGTCACTTACATCCATCGCTTTCGATATTTTCATTTTCGACATTTTTTACTTTCGATATTTTTCCTTTCTGCCTTTTTCCATCATACCGACAAATATTCGAATCCTAAAATATAACTTACAGGTTAGTAAGTAGACTATACGAGAGTCGCAAAGAAAAAAATGAACATTTTGGGTTTACGGAAGGGACGGTGAGGATGTATCCTTAATAGATTAATTATTAACCTATTTTATTATTTCTTTTAAGGTTCTCGATATAAATAATTGTGATTATGAACAACGAGAAAAATTTCTTTTACTCTGTGTACATGGTGATCCAAATACAGATTCAGTTGTATCATGGGAAATGGAAGTATGCAAATTACCACGTCTATCATTAAATGGTGTTCGATTTAAACGTATATCAGGCACATCAATTGGGTTCAAAAATATAGCGAGTAAAATCGCTAATGAACTCAAATTGTGATTTCTTTTCATACTCTTTATCTTCCTATCTTTTGTGTATGTTCATTATCTTGTGTTTCTTTCGTTTTTTTAGTGATTGTATCTCGCATGTGTTTGTCTGTGTTCTTCTTTTTTTTCCTCAAATGAATCAAATAACCAAACACGCATGGCATTTGTGCGTATCGATATGAGTCATAAACAAGGATCTCTCTGTTGTGCTGCTTGTTTATGCCTATAAGGCATTTATTTTCTTCTTTTTTTTTTGGCGTGCGAAATTCATCCATGAGAATCAGCTCTTATAAATAATTTTTTGATGTTCTTTCTTTCTCTGCACACATTGTAGATCTTAGAATATCTGCGTCTGTTATAACTTGAAATACGGATGAACGTTGCTTTTGTTTTCTTTTTTGCACACATGCATATATTGAAATAATTTTTTGCGTAATTTATTCTTCTTGACTTGACACGATTTATATCGCCTGAAATAACAGTGTGTGCGCTCTTTATTCTCTTTGTAACTATAGTGAAATTTCTTTTCTGTTTTTCTTTGCTGTCTCTGTCGTTGTTGGTTTCTTTGGTTTTTTTTTGTTTTTGTTTTCTTACACATTCTATATTCAACTTGTCGCTCTCTCTCGTTTTCTTCTCATTGCGCGCTAATTTCCTATCCTACTGACATCATATATTATAACCTTATTGTCACAAACATGCACACATAGATGACATGCAATTTGTTAATTTTCGTTGTGCATGGTTTCAATTTTTTTCTTATGGTGTTCTTTCTAGACTTTTCACCCTTCCCTTTTCTAGATATGTTCGATTTCACTATGTGTTCTGTGGGTGTTTATCGGTCATATCTTCTCATTTTTTCTTTTGCTGTTTGCGCACGCGCGCTGTCTTGAAGAATATACATACATTAAATATTACATTCAAGTGAATGTGGTGTAAGAAAGATAATCTCAATATATAGGAAAACAACAAAATTTTTCTTAGATTTCAACAAAGAATTATATTATCTGAAAAAGAAGTTCTTAGTGATCTTGGTGAATACAAGTACTTTTCGAATTATTGAGTTGAATCTCTTGAGGGATTTTTAAGATGTGTTGACATTTTGAGAAGAAGATTTCATATAAACAAAAATATTTATTTTTTAATCTGATTGTTTGACTCTGTGTAGAAAAATTGAATAATCATAGTAGTAATTAGTGACTAGATTTATGAGACATTACAATCAATAAAGATTTACGAAGGAAGCCTCCAAACTGATTAATCGCTGTTGAGTCAGGACTATGCGCATCATTCAGATCAAAATGACCTTTGCATGTCCTGAAAAGAGTTCGTATCCTTATCTAATTACTGTGTAGATGTTACATTTTTATCATATTTTTTTAATAAATGCTATAACATTACTCAGATAGATTAGCAAAACTGATTTCAAACTTTTCCTTGAAACTTGACACAGTAGCAGATCTAAACTAGAGTACTTGTTCATATATATCGGCAGATTTGATATTTTTATTTCAAGACAGAAGTGAATCAAAATACTTGAAATCTTCATAATAAACTATTCATGTTAAGACATGCCTCTGTACAAGTTTCATGTCAAAAGTCAGAAATCAGTTTTCCTGGTGCTCCTAATGGAGGCCACGACATTTATTTAAAAAAATATCATAAAAATGTACTATCTATACAGCAATTAGTTAAGGGCATGAGCTCTTTCCAGGATATTCACAGTTCATTTGGATCTACATAATGCATACAGTCTCAGCTGGAAACTGATTTAGCAGTTGGAGAACATCCCTCATTATATATAAACTTTATGTCATTGACGATGCATAAAATTTTAAATAAATTTGAATATTTATTGTCATTCAAGCTTATTCTATATCAAGAACAATAAAAAAAGAAAAAAAAGAATAGTAATTATATTTATTGTGTATATGGATGATAGAACCCTACTGCATTGGACTCGAAAATCTGACTTCCATAGAGTTGAAGCGACCGTAAAGAGTGTTTTTGAATTCAATGTCCGAGTGACATCATTAAAAAAAGAAGTCAAGTACTTTTACTCTTACGTTGTAACTAGTTTAATCTAAATATCTCACGTCATGAACAAAACTACTTCAGATTCGCAAACAAGTTTCAAGAAGAAAAGCTATCAGCGAGACGTTCTCATTAACAAGTAGCGCTAAAAGCAGTATATATATATTAATCAAAAAAAAATTTTCAGAGTTTCTCGCAGTTAAAAAGTTAAGCTCCACAGGATTCTAATGGATGAATATATAGGACATATGTCAGAAAAAAAAGTATTTCACTAACTGCTTCTTTTATTTTATTTTCATTGATACCGAATTCAAGGAAAACGTCGAAAAGACAAATACGTGTGAGTGTAGGATTCGGTTTTTTCTACACCCTAATTCAACATACACTAGAATCTGGTAAGAATTTTTTTATTTAGAAAACACAGTAACATTATTAAAGTCAGTACGTCTAACAGCAAAAATATTAACTGGTGATCAGTTATCTATTGCAAAAGAAATAGGACAACGTCTTAGTATGAGCAATGAAATGTTTATATCAAAAACACTTCAGGAAGACCTATTGACACAACTACGTTATCAAGATATGCTAATTTAGTTTTACATATAGATGAATTTTCAAGAGTTTATTTAGAACATAAATATGAAACACTTAATCGATTACAAAAAATAGGTCATTTGGTTGTTATGACTGATGATCAGATTTATCACATACATCGGTATTTTGAAAAGCAAATATTAGTGTAGCTATTACTGATGTAGTTCGATCATCAGCTATTATCATTCTAACTGAACTTGGTTTATCAGTTATTATTGACATTAAAATAAATATTCATTTTTTATATTTCTGAAGTCCTTTAAAAATGTTTGTTCCATAAATAAAACCTACAATTAGTAACAAAAATAACTGTATTGCTAAATGATCGTAGCATTTCAAATTATTTATTAGCCTAAGTTGTCACAGATAAATCTGTCACATGATTATACACATATTACATCGTTTGTGTATCATTGACTGTCAAATCTTATTATGATTTACATCTTTGCTTGGTATATAAGACAAAAAAAATCCAATACATCAATAAAGAAGCTTATTAGAGATAGTTTTTGTTCATTTTTTTGTGCGCAAGAAATACAGAAAAACATTCAGAAGGAGAAAAAAACAAATGCCCTCAATGCCCTTTCCTTTGTTCACTATTGCAGTTGCCTTCAAGTGAACTTCTTCCACTATGCATTTTCCGTTCTATCTTCTGACGCGATGAACATTATCTCTCGTTTACTACGACGTTTGTTCTTTCCACCTTATTCGAGATTAAAGAAAAAGTATTCTCATTCAAAAATATATCATATACGAGAAAGTATGCTATTTAAGGCTATTCAATAACAATTCATATTTTGGTTTCGATTTTCTATCATATAAAGTAAACAAAAACATCATAACTTTTAGTAACCTCCTCTATATGTAAATGTCATTTAGATTCTTATATCTGCTACTCCGAATAATGGCACTTCATTGAAAATATCAAAAGATAATGTACAACCATTCTGTTGTGTAACAGTTGAAATTTATTAATAATATTCAAAAATACTATTCCGTTAAAACAACATTTTTGGGAAACACAATTTAAAAGGAGTGGTTAAGTATACAGGTAGAAATTTACTCCCTACCCACTCTCGTGCATATGTAACAGACATCTTATCAACGAATTATTACAGACCGTGACAGACGTTATTGATTTACGACTACAGACCATGTCTCAGTAATGTCTCGTTATAATATATGAACTACTTTCTCATCATATTTGGGGATGATTAAATAAAACAATGGTGAAGAAATGTGTCCCAAAATAGAAGAAAACACTCCTTGTGATTAGCAATAGCAGCTAAATCGTGTTTCACATTTTTATCCCGCAGGGACTGCGCTAATAGCTTTTTTATAACATATTTAATTTCATGCAATTTGAATAGCATTTTCAACCGTATAAAAATCCTTGATGAAAAAATCCAGTTTTAATTCAATTATTTACTTACAAATTTCGATAATAAGCCAAGCATTAATGTTTATAACACGCGTACCGAGTTTTTTTGTTTTTTATAATGTTCGCCAACACTTATTATCATTTAGACAGTTTGGAGTTTTGTATACACACGTGACAGGGCTCCACGTAGGATGAAACAGTTTGATCCCATGGGGTGGGATGGGATAATTTTCCAAAGTGTCTGTCCCATTCCATCCCATGAGATATTTATCAACAGATTTACGCCTCATCCTACCCATCTGTCCTATAGGACAAACAGTCGGTTGTACAAATGTGTTTTTTAAGGAAACATATAACTATTTTTTTTCGTATGAATGATATTCTTGTCTATTTTAGTGCACCTAGCGAAAATAGAATTTTATTCTATTCTGTAAATATTTATACATTGTACTCATTAGAACACAGTAAAATGAATAATAATCAATTAATAAATAAATAAATGACGCTATTTGTTCTATTTTAGTAGTTCGAAGCAATGAATTGATTTAGATTTGAGTAATAACTGATAAAATGATTTCTGAAGGGTGTGGGTGTGTAAGAAGAAAATATTAACTCCCACAAATAGACGGGCAAAAGAAATATACGCGTCGAAGACAATATGATCTGATTTCATCGTCATATATCATAAAAAAACAGCTATGATCGAAATATTATTATTATGATATTAGTTCAAGTATGATCAAATATCATAGAAAAATAAAGTATTATGTTTACCGTCACTACCTATAAAGAGAAGATTTTCTTCAGTTTTCTATACAGAAATAAAGTACTTTCAACGCTACTTTTGGATTGTTTTCAGTAGTATAAGTTTTTGTATAATTAATCAAATAGATAAATGCATCGAAAACTTTCATTCTTTTTGAAAACTATTTCACAACTATGACATTCCATGGGATAGAAAATGTTTGAAGGTTGTCCCATCTCATGTGAGATAATAACTTTGAGAC